TAGTGGTTCGCAGCAACATGAGCTTCCGTTAGGAATCGCGTTTGAGGGATCGAGCGAAGCGGAGCTAGCCCTTAGACGTCGGTTGAGGCGAAGCTAGCCCTCAGACGTCGGGCGAGGCGGAGCCAGCCCTCAGGGGTCGTCCGAGGTGGATCCAACCCTCAGGGGTCGGCGAGGCGGAGCCGACCTTTAGACGTCGGGCGAGGCGGAGCCAGCCCTCAGACGTCGGGCGAGGCGGAGCCAGCCTTCAGACGTCAGGTGAGGCGAAGCCAACCCTCGGGGGTCGGACGAGACGGATCCTAACCCTCGGGGGTCGGGCGAGGTGGAACCCGCGGCCTCAATGTCTACCGAGGCGGAGCTCACCCTCGGGGGTCAGAAGAGGCGGAGCCCATGGCCTCGGTGGTCGGACGAGGCGGAGCCCAGCAAGAGGTGTAGTCGCGCTCTTGACCGCTCGGATGAATCAACGTTGATGATTATAAGCTCCTCCTCTTCGGGTACCCTACTATTGATCCCCGACAGGTAGGTTGATAGAGTCAAATAAAACCTACTGACCCAATAAATAAGATAGGTCAACTCAATCATTGCAAAACAACCATTTTTTTATTTGTTGATCGACCTTTTATTTCTCAAAGTGTGATCCATGATGATTAGTTAAGCATGTTAGTGTTGGAATTAAACAAATAAAAATCATACTTTAAAGACGAAAAAAATATAAAATTAAAATTATGGTTCACTTCTTAACTTATTTTATTCATGAAGATGAAAATAGATAAAATTATAATTATGGTTCACTTCCCAACTTATTTTATTTGATGCATAACATCATATTTTATTATTTTAAATTTGGTACAATCATTATTTTTTTAAAAGTATTCATAGTTTTTATGTTCTATGATATAATAGAAAAAAAATTGGACTGACTATTGGACCATCCAGGCTATAGCCTATAGCCTTTAACTGAAATAGATAAACCCAAATACGTACAGCCTCCTTAAATTGACCTTGAGGTGAGGAGGCCAGGTCTAAGGCCAAATCTAGACTGGCCATTCCCATAACTAGGCTTGTTAGACCTCGGCAAACAAGGTTAATTACCCCTGAGCTCTGGAGGAGGCTGGACGGCCAAGTGGTGGAGGCAGGGCAGACCGAAGGCGGCCGGGGGCGGTCTGGGCCAGCAGCAGGATTTTTTTTTACAGCAACAGCAGGATGGGGTTGACAGGCTGACAGCTAATTAAGGCGGCAAAAGAGCAGGGCGTCGTGTTGTGTTAAGAGTTGCAAATTAAGGCCCTGGATACAAAGTTTTTTTTAGAGTTTTAGATCAATACCATGGTTTTTTAAAATACCTAGGTATCTAAAAGAAAGATGGTGCTTGATGTAATTAGGGCATGTTTGGAACGAAGGAATCCAAAACGCAGGAATAAAAAAAAACGTAGGAATAAGATATGATGAAAAGTGAAAAACTACGAGATTTCAAAATACAGGAACAGAAAATTTAGGCTGTCTGGAACACTTGAATTTATAACACGAGAATCATAAAATATGTGAGTATAAGTGTCATTATTAGTGCTAAATGATAGTAATATTTTAGTGGCGCATTTTTCATGACTATCTTACACATGGGCCCGCAGGTCCATGTCCTTGCTTATCCACCGTATGAATATGATGGAGCCAAATAAAAAATCCAGCAGCCTTCTCTCTCCTTATCCTTTCCTAGAAACAAGGCTCCGAGCGGATGCGACCAGGCGCTGGTGAGGCCATGGGACGGCGGAGCGGTGCAGCGGGGTGCTGGTGGAGCGGTGCAGCGGCCAAGCGGGGCACGAGCGGCGCAGTGAAGCGTTCGAGCGGGAGCGGCGCAGCGGGATGGCACCGCAGGAGTGCGGCCAGGCAAACACTTGTCCGCGCTCCATGCGAGCGCTCTCTCTCTCTCTCTCTCGCGCGCGCGAGCGCCTCGGTCTTCCGCGAAAACTTTGGCCAAGAGTGGATGTAAAAATTCCTGCATTTTGATGAGCGAAGGAAACCTTTCCAGAGGAATGGGAAGTTCCATTCCTTCATTCCAAACGGTAGGTGACGTCAGCAAAATACAGGTTTGGCAATCCTTCGAAAATACTTCGCTCCAAACAGGCCTTTAATTTGGAGTTTTAGAAACTACTCACTCCATACTAAAAAATAAAGTCATTTTGGATAAGGCTTGGGTCAAACATTGGGAATATAAATCATGAATAACTTTTAAGTTGTTGAGTTTGAAAATGTGAAAACCATATGTATAGATTTGTCTTGAAAAATACTTTCACAAAAATTTACATATATCACTTTTTGATAAATATCTTTATAAAAATAAGTAGTCAAAGTTATGCTTTGAAGACCGTGTTGCTGTCCAAAATGACTTCATTTTTTTGTATGGAGGGAGCACGGTATTAATAAAACCACAATTTTTTTGGAGTCTAAAAAACTTAGTCCCAGCCCTCTATTTTTGATAGAGCTTGGTGATGTGCGTCCATCTCTGATGGCGTGTCTCCTTTTCACTACTATTTTTAGAGATACATGCTATTGTTAGCAGCATAGACACAACCAACTAGTCTTAAAAGTAACGTATTGCTATGTAGCTAAACACATCATGGCTTTTCTTAAATAGAGAAACACTACGGTTTCTAAATACTATGGTATTACATGTCTACAGTTTTAAAAACTATGGTTTCATAATACTAGAGTTTTAAGAAACAACAACACCCAAACGGGGCCTAAAGGTGGTTGGGTTGGCGACCGGCGACCCGCCATGGTGCCACTGGGATACTGGAGTGGAATTTGGCGTGGGGGAGCTCAATTTCGAATACCATGGTGCGCGGGAGGTAGGAAGGAGCTGAGCGCACATGTAAAACCTTTAGACCCCTCTTAGGGCGCCATTAAGGTGTGCTGTATCAAAATTCACTACCGGACTCAGTGGCTTTGCTGAGTGCCAGCCAAATTTGCACTCGGTAAAGGCTTTGCCGAGTGCTGCACTTGATAAAAAATGGGTCGGCAAAGGTGTCTTTGCCGAGTGTTTTTTTGTCGGGCACTCGGCAAAGCCTTTGCCGAGTCCCCGACACTCGGCAAAGTTAGAACAAAAAAAAACCCGAAAAATAGGGGGAAAATGGAAAAAATGGATTTTTTTTAATTGGTAGAGGCCCCTACCGGCCAGCGCCCGCACATCTTTGGCATTTTTCGCGTAAATTTCGCAGCAACACGGCCGACGGGATTCGAACCCACGACCTCACCCTGCGCGCGAACCTCCTCTACCACTACACCACACTGTCGCTTGTGTCTGGATTCCATTTTAGTTCCCAACATATTATACTAAACCGAGTGTAAATTGTTTGTTTCAGACACTAAACGAATTCAAATAAAAAAGTTATAAACTATAAAGTTTCATAACTTTTCGAGATCTACACTTTTAGTTTAGGAAGTTTTTCCATCCGAGGTCGTTTACAAAATTTGAATTTCAAAATTTTGAAATTCAAACGCAGTTTTGCATGACAAGATGATTTCAAATCAAAAAGTTGACAACTACAATGTTTCATAACTTTTCGAGATCTACATATTTTATTTTGGTTGTTTTTCCATCCAAGGTCGTTTGAAAAGTTCGAATTTTAAAATTTTGAAATTCAAACACAGTTTTGCATGACAAGATGATTTCAAATCAAAAAGTTGCCAACTACAATGTTTCATAACTTTTCGAGATCTACAGAGTTTATTTTGGTTGTTTTTCCATCCGAGGTCGTTTGAAAAGTTCGAATTTTAAATTTTTGAAATTCAAACACAATTTTGCATGACAAGATGATTTCAAATCAAAAAGTTGCCAATTACAAAGTTTCATAACTTTTCGAGATATACAAAGTTTATTTTGGTTGTTTAGTCATCTGTTCATCCGACATGGTCGTTCTAACATTGTTCACAAATCTTATATATCTTTCTTGTAGTTTCATAAACTACAAGAGAGATATGTTAGATTTGTGAACAAATTTACTTTCACTTTGTCATATGAAGAAAAGACCAAAACAAACATTGTACATCTTGATGAGTTATACAACTTTGTAGTTGAAAACTTTTTCATTTGAATTAATTTACTATTTTAAAATGTGCTTTGATTTTTTTTTTGCGAGTGTAAAAAAAAACACTCGACAAAGAAGCTTCTTTGCCGAGTGTAAAAAAAAACACTCGGTAAAGAAGCTCTTTGCCGAGTGTCAAAAAAAAACACTTGGCAAAGAGCTTCTTTGCCGAGTGTAAAAAAAAACACTCGGCAAAGTCGTCTTTGCCGAGTGCCCGAAAAACAACACTCGGCAAACCACTTGGCACTCGGCAAAGAGCCGGTCTCCGGTAGTGATTTCTCTCTACTTAATACAATGACGCGCAAACATTTTGCATGTTCGAGAAAAAATTTATATTGTTGACACATACGTGATCTAGCGGTCGCTCGAAAAAATGTTGGTAAATCTATACACCTGAATTTTAGCACCCCCTCTAATTATATGATAACTAGAATATATACTGAACACCATACATACTTGCGAAAACTAAGTTAATGCCTTGTTTGAATTTGGACAGGCAGAAACAAGTATGGACAACAGGGAAAAAGGAAATCCTTACGTAGAGTTTGTAGCCATATGTAGTTATGTATACATGATTAAATCTCAACAGCCAGTAGTGCTGACGACAGAAACAAGCGCGCGAGTGCCCGTGCAAGTAAGACCAACGACCATTTCACTAGCAAAGTAAGCAATCAACCCGTCATCTTATTTCTTACATCGGCAACAACGACAAGAAAGCAAGCATCACTACTGAACCAGACAACGAGACGCGGCAAGGCATCATGCATCATCAAGGAAAGACGACGCAGCAGAAACGAAGGCAACGCTGAGGACAGACACGTCTGGACCTGCACACCCATGCATATAGAGATCGACTAAATTATTTAAGAAACACTACGTACGTTACGTTATACGCTGATGATCATAAGAGGCCGGCCGGTCTAGCTAGTAGTGGCAGGCGTAGTTGGCCTTCTTGAACATGGCGGCCTGCGCGACGGCGGCGGCCTCGGACGTGAGCGCGACGGCGATGCAGTCCTTGACCTGCTGCGTGCTGTAGGCGTACTTCTTCTTGGCGGCGACGGAGTTGAGGTAGGCGGCGGCGCCCTCGCGGAGGAGGTCGCCGTAGCAGTCGGTGCGGGTGTTGCACAACGCGTCCTGCAGCGTCTGCAGCTTGCTCCCGAAGAAGGCGGTGCACACGTCGCCGAGGGAGCCGAGGATGCTGCCCAGCGACCCGATGCACGAGATGATCGCGTCCGGGTGGCTCTTCCAGTAGCTGCACGTAGGAGCACTCAGCAAAATTTCATTTTCATGCATATTTGTTGTAGTAGGAAATTTATATATCTCGATTCTCGATGCGCATGCGATGCATAGCCCGGTTGTTTGCTTCTTACTCGCAGGTCCCGGTGCCAGAATAGCCGGGCGTGTAGCCGCCACCGCCGCCTCCTCCTCCGTACCCACCGCCGCCGTCGCCGCCGCCGCCATACCCACCACCACCACCTCCAACGCCGTACCCGCCGCCGCTGCCACCTCCTCCGTACCCACCGCCACCGTCTGTTTGGAGTTTGGACAAAACAATAGACAGCACGGCACACGATTATTGTTAGCTCATCAACACACTGAGCACAGGACACTGGAGACTGGACACACATGCATGCGTTTGTTACATTAGGGAAAAGGGAGCATATATAGCAGATTACGAGACACACACAGCACGTACACTTCTGTTCAGCAACGTGATCTCCCTGCAGGCCCCTGCTGCCTGAGCACCGAGAGGCTACGCCCACCAAGAGGACGGCGACAAGGAGAACCTTGCGGCTCATCTTGATACCTCTCTCGCTCTCCTGATCTCCTCCTGTATGTTTCAGATCGAAAAAGACTAGCGACTGGAAGAGAAAGAGAAGAGCACCGGCAAATGCTCAAGCGAGTGTGCGCTGCAACACTGGACCTGCGGGGTTTATATTGAAGCGCTAGCTGGATGACGCCGGGCACCGGCACCGGCACCTGCACTTGAGCCGTGCCGCCGTTGCATGCACTTGAGCCCCACGGCTTTGTAGAGTAGTTGGCTGCCATTGAATGCCTACTTCCATCCATCCAGCTTAATGCTACGGCCACGGGTGACGGATTCTCCTGGATCTACGGGCGAATGACTTGGCTGAATGAACCTGCTGAGAGAGTGAGAGCCAATTCTGTGACTTCGTTCGCGTCTGAGTCTGTCAGTGCACCGATTCAGCAGACAATCAGTAACATTGTATTCATCAGATTAGAAATAGAAGAGGCATGTGCATTCAGTAACAACATATGCCTGGGAAATTTAAGTTCATGTGTAAAGGATTCTGGTAATAACTTGAGAACGAACCATGTGTATGCGGGTGCCATTCCAATTCCAAGGCAGACTGCACGCATTCATGGCAAGAGACGACGGGCCGTCAGCCCGCCATCAACACTAAAATGGGTGTCGCTCCGATCCAGTTGAGCTGATTAAATTGCTTTCGGCGCTTGCCACCTACTCGACGATCACTGTTTGTATGTACCACTTCATTAGATGCACGGAGACATGGAGTGTGTTCCTTTATTAGGAGCTCCATCTGTGCATTGCGTGCAGGCTGTGTTATCCGTCCCAGAAAGAATACGCACAGTGCAGAGGAAGCCAGGAATAATGGAGCCGGCGTGATTCAAAAGTAAGAGAATTGTATGTTTCTAGAAACCTGAAACACGTATGTCAGATATTTGAAAATAAGTGAGAACCCAAACTCAAAGTGAAAATAACGGAAAAAAATATATATATACAGCAGCAGGTGTGCAGAACCATCGTCACATAAGGCTGAAAATGCTCCGTCCTGTTCGCTTGAGCTTATTCAGAACTACTTTTAAGTCATGTAACAGTGTTTTTCTCTCCCAACATTTTAATATAAGCATCAACATAAGCCAAATTTCAGCATCAGCGAACAGGTGGTGATCATTCCATCGGAGCATCGATCCCTGTCAGGGAAAATCGACCCTGATGAATGCCTGCAACTGCAACCAATTTGCCGAGGTCGTCGTCGTCGTACAGAGTTTTGACACAGCAAGACAGGAATACCCCATCATCACCGTCAGGAGCTAGCGACCGCTAACAGCAAGCCAATCAGGGCGGCGATGCATAAATACCAGCGTTTAATGTCTTCAAATACTACACATATTGCAGAGAAAACGTGGCTGTCTGTCTGGCCCGTTGACGCTGACTTGCAGTCTACCTAGGTCAAAAGGAGGGTCTTAATCTACGGAGATGGGTTCTCATGCAGTACCGAAAACATCCGATGGAGATATCACCAAGTCACCATACATCACAGATTCACAGATTCACAGTGATGGAAGAAGGCGACAAATTAAAATAAACTCATGTTAAGTGTGAGATGTTGTATATATGCAGAAGAGAATAGTACCCCGATCATTTGACGGAGGGAAGAAAGGTGGGTGGAAAAGAATCATCGATCTGCCGCCGGTTAGCTCGTACTTGCCCGCGCAGGCAGCGCAGCAGCATGATTTGCTTGGGACAAGAGCCATGTGAGCTTCCAAGCATTGGCAGAGCAAACAGTTTGGAAAGGCCAGCCAGCTAACAACCAGGAGATACTAAGGGTGCGTTCGGCTGGTCTGAAAATTTCAGACCAGCCGGCTGCTTCTCCTCACATGCTACAGTATAATTTTCAGCTGCTACAGTATTCTCTCTCACACAATCAGCCGCTACAGTGTTTTGGTTTCTTTTTTCAGACAAGCGAACGGGTATGAGTCTGAGGCTATAGTGATCACGATAATGTATTAATGCTGACCACTTTAATTCAGGATCAGGTCTACCAATTTGTTGGGGCCTGGGGGAGGCGGAGGTCCTTTGCAAGGAGATTTCGCTCAGCATATGGAAGGAAGCACAAGAGGTCAAAAGTATTAAATTGCATGCACCGACCAATTCAACCAAAAAGCTTAAGTTGATGGGGAGAGATGGACAATTCACTTATATTCCAACAAAAAGAGAGAAACACCAGTGGAGTCAGCAGCAACAAATACTGGCACGATTTTTATAGACGGTCAAAAACAAACTTTAGAATCGGTATTAAACAGTTACTATACCGATTGCTTCACTTCATCGCGTGATTTGGGGAGCCGTGTGCAAACAAATCAGGTTTTTGGGGAGCTCACTTCATCGCGCGATTGCTCCCTGTTCCTGGTGTTTATCCGTGACTCTTCTTTCCGTCAGACATGGCCGTTCATGGAACTGCAATACAAACATCTTCTTGCACTGACTATAGTTGGTAACTTCGAGCAACTCGCAATGACCAGTGCCCCCAGCACACGTCCCACCCTAGGGTACATCTGTCTTTACTGAATTTCTTATTTTCAGTATGATGTACATGTTCACTATGTTAGTCATCGTGTTTGCTACTGCGAGTAGAACACACAAGCACATATACGACATCATAAATGTTTTGCTATTTTTCTGGATTAAGTGAAATTGTCTAAATATCTAACACTGCACCCAATAAAATTTGAATTCTAAGCTTAGCTGCTTAGGAGAAAATCCATTAAGCCAAGAACTAAACATATTAGGTATATTAGAAGGTGGTTGAATGCAACACTTCTAACAATTGTGTACAGGGTAATCCACTGTTTTCAGCCGTGCCTAGCAATTGCTGGTAGAAGTCTGACACCACCTAATGGCTACTGTTTTCCTTCCTGAAATAGATGTGATAATCTAATCACCATGTAGCAGTTTATCAATAAAATTCCTTCTGTTTCGATATCTAAGTATGCTGGTGAAAGAATGAGGTGTTTGCATTCCGCTCCCAAAAGTATAGCGAGGATCGGATACGGGAACGTAGTCTTGCAAATTTTCCCTCGGAGAGATCGAGGCCAAGCCAGTGTAACTCAACCTTTTTTTTCTAAGCCATTCTTTCCCCATGATAAAGATGATCCCTGGAGTTGGTAATTTTAAGACAGTGAAGTATCTCAATTGCCATGTCAAGCTGCATATTATATTTCCAACTGTGCGCTGACTCCGTTTCTGCACGCCCTTGCTCAAGCTGTGAAGCTTGAAGCAAACCCCACCACCATCCGGATCTGTCATTCTTTCCCTTTTTCTTGTATTTTAGTGACCTGGCTTTGTCTTGCGCTGAGCGCAGCCATGCGTTGCCTCCAGGTGCTCACCGCCGGCCTTTGATATCTCTTCCGCCCTTGTCAGGTTGTTGCTATTGAACAAGTCAATGGCTGGCTTCTGTTGAATTGAGGTGCTGTTTGGTTCAGTCCTGAGAGTGGCAACGGCGATGTAAACAGAAAACAGTGCTACCCGTAGCCATGCAATTGAAATCGCGATTTGTTTGGTATCCAGGAGTCACTCCTGCACGGCGTGATCCGATAACGCCTGGAGTTGGGCGGTAACCCAGTTGCACATGCTCGTAACCCATCCCTCCTCCAGGACCAGAAACGGTGACGAGACAGCGTGAATGGGCTCAAATTTCTTTTGAAATATTTGGCCGCTGTCCTAAAATTGACTCTCAAAAGGCACACAACCAAAAGCTATAAAATCACGACCCAACTGGCATCAAGAGAGCCTAGAGAAGTTCCGTGGAGCGGTAGAAATCCAACACAAAAGACGGAACTCGAATCGGAGCACGGACGAGCAAGAAACGAACCAAACAACACAAAACAGAGGTGGCGGACTGTCTGCGGTTCAAAAATCAGAAACAGAACTCGTTGAAACAGTTCTGGATACTGTGGGGGTATGACCCCAGTACCCGTAAGACTCCACATGGGCCGAGCCGCTAGGGGAGGCCCAGCCTACAAGACTATGCACGGGTCGCGCCACCGGTCGGGGCCCATCTCGCAAGACAATGCCACGAAGTATGCCGCAGGATGGCGTGCTTCACAAGGCAACGTAAAGATTATTGGTGATCGACAAAATCTGCTCAGATATGATAGGTATTATACGATCTGTAACTTTCTATCTTATAAACCGATCAGAATGGAAATAGCCGATCTATAACCCTACCCCCAAGCTATATAAGGCGGGTAGGGACCCCCTCGTTTTTATCGAATCGTACGCAATACAAACCACAGAGACACATGACGTAGGATATTACGTTGAGTTGACGGCCTGAACCTGTCTAAATCGTTGTCTCTTGCGTTCTGTGTCACCATCCAGTTCCCTCACGCGCACCTCCACCGATTCATCTACTACCATGGGCATACCCCTCGATAGACTGCCGGACGTATTTCGTCGACAGTGGCGCGCCAGGTAGGGGTTGTGCGCGTTGAATCCATGATGAACTAGATGGTCACCTTCCGAAGTTCCATGGCCCCCCTCGAGCCGGGCCAGATCTTCACGGTCAGATCCATGACCTGGGTCATCGACCCCGACGGCAACGGAGAGATCATGGAGCCGGTGTAGGACCATCTTGTGCCGATAATGCTAACACCAACAATGACATCACCGATCTTGGCGCCACATCGCTGGATCAAGAGATCCATCAGCAACGACGATCTGATCGCATCCATCGATCGGGTCACAGATCGCCTGATAGAATGCCAGCTCCTCGTGGATTCGGTCCTAGATCGATCTAGAGCGAGCGTCGATTTTCCTACGCCTAGAGATCTCTAAGCCACAGTGACTGAGCGACCTGCTCAGCCACACCGTGCAAGGCGGACAGATTCTGATCTGGTGATCATAGCTACCCTAGAAGGGCACACGGTGCGGCGCCGACTACTGCCCGCCATCGGCCTTCGCTTGGATGACTATGAAGCCCCGATGGAGAACTCGCCGAGGACCTACCCCTTTGGGCTAGAGGGTGCAGGA